GTTCTTCCACAGTCCACAGACATGCTGGCAGGTTAGTTAGCTTCTGGGAACATTGCCCTGGTGTGAGTGTGTGTCTGCCCTGTGATGGACTGGTGTCCTTCCCAGGGTGTATCCTGCCATTTTCCCCTCAATTAGAAAATGGATGAATAGTATAAGGATAATCTGATTTAGGCCTTTCTCATGTTTTGTCCAGCTACCTGAGGCCCAGCTCTTTCTTTTGCTCTGTCCTGTGAGATTCTTGATGATATTCCTTTGTCAATCAAGATGAAAATCATTCACAAAAGACAAGACGCTCACCCAATAGTTTTCATTTTCAGAAGCTGTTTTATTTATGTTTTCCATATAAATATGCTTAGGCTGTAATATAAATAAATATTTTCTAGAAATCACTGAATAAATACATTGTAGAAAATGAACATGCCATATATGCTGTATGGTAACCACAAAAATAACATAATAAATAGACCAATAAATATGCACTTTAATAAATAAATAGAATAGCCCACATATATTTTATAAAAAACCTCAAACCCTATAGCTGTATAATGTGACCCCCAGCAAAGCAAACACGTAGGAATTGGGAAAACAATGTAAAAAGGATTATTGTATTCAGAAATACTAACATTACCTCCAGAGATTAAATGTCTGCAGGAAAAAACTAACTTACAGTATAACCTCCTTAACTCAGAGGTTTAATTTTTTTGGCATATGAAAGGTGTTAATTAAGTTTACAATGTGTTTTGCAGGCTGGGTAAATGTTACAAGTCCATGTGCAGGGTAGCTCTCCAGATAGCTGTAACATCCTTTGCTATAAGCAAGTCTTATCACCAGCAGTTACTGTCCTATTTATTGCTGCTAATAAATAAATAAATAAATAAATAAGTTAATGACTGTTATTTTTTTAAATAAAAGGAAGACTAATCTGACTGAAAGCTTTACGAAATGGCAAAAAAATGTGCATTGGTAATATACACTATTACTTTTATGCACTATAGTTGACTGCCCTGTGTTATAGATTACTATTCTGCACTTTTACTCACAGTGATGCACTATAGTTTACTATTCTGCACTATTATCCACTGTTCTGTACTATAGTTTACCATTCTGCACTATTACTCACTGTGATGCACTATAATTTAAAGTTCTGTAATATAGTTTACTATTCTGCACTATTATCCACTGTTCTTAACTATAGTTTACTATTCAGCACTATTACTCACTATGATGCACTATAGTTTACTGTTCTGTACTATAGGTCACAATTCTGCACTATTACTCACAGTGATGCACTATAGTTTACTATGCTCTACTAGGCCATTTTGCTACAAGCAGTACTTGCCAAGAGTAAACTGCAATGGTGCGACTCCCCGCCTATGGATTGTAATGTCCAGACAGACTGCACTTTGTAAACTGCAGTCCTGACAATAACAACACTGTTGGGCAGCAGGTTTCGGGGGAAGCTGGAGCTGCTCAGCTCCTCCTGGGGGGTGTAATACTGAACTCGTCTGTCTTTGCCGGCGGTTTTAGCTGGGGGGACAGCTGTCCTGAGAGCCGGCGTCGTGCGTGGCGGGGTCGCCGGGGCTGAAGACGCGCGCTGCGATGGTGGAGAAGGACAGCAGACGTTCCACACTGTACTGCTGCAGCTGCCAGAACATCCACCTGCTCTCCTGCCCCAGCAGGCTCCCACTGGAGACCGGCTTCTGCAAAAACAGATCAGACAGCAGGTTAGGAGCCTCACGCTCTTTCTGTTGGGCTAGAGACCCCTTTTTACCCTACAGCCTTCCAACAGGCCCCCTGCCCCTGCTCTGCCGAGACTTGCAATATTATTATTAGGCAGTAATAATTATAGCCATAAAAACATTTAAATACTGATACAATATATGAAACCCGGACTTCACTTCTGCTTTTTCTGAAGACCTTTGCTTGGTTTCTGATTGTCTTCTCTTCCACAACACAGGAGAAACAACCCTTTGATTGTGTCCTTTTTGAGTGTGTGTGTGTGGGGGGGGTATAATAACACAACAGTCATGTAGAAGACGCAGTCAAAAGGATTTACAGACTATCAGTGAGATCAGATACCAGAGCTCTGTTGAAATAAGCAATTTTGTAATAAGGCTGGGAATTTTTCATATCGCCTCCTGTCTGATTTCCAGAAGTGAGCCAGAAGCAGTAAAGTGATCACAAAAACCCACACTAACTGCCAAATCTGCTCGGATACGTAAGGACTGCCAAAATGGTGCATCATTCCAGTTCCCAGCAGGTCCGGTTGAGCTTATTAAGGTCATTTTCTGCTCACCGAGTACGTGAAGGAATGAAAACCCAGCGACACTGCAGCCCCCAGGACTGGAGTTGTGCACCACTAGGCTGACTACATCTACTGTGCGCTCTGACATTAGGAAGTTACTTATAATTTCAAATGTTTAGACAAGGAACTGCACTATCAGGGCTCTCATGTAAATATGCACATTCACTAGTGGAGGGGGTCTCCAGGTCTGGTCCTGGAGAACCCCAGTCAAGCCTTAAAATCATCCATTTCTAAAGGTCTGAGACCGTTTAAATACGAACAATTAGACAGGTGATGTTCAATTAAGTAACACCAATCACAATAATATCCTCTGTTTCTGAAAAGCCTGTGTTTGTTTCATTGAAAGAATACTTTCTTAATTGATTGATTGTTTAAACATTCCTGCTTTTTAAGTAACAGGTGACCTTTGAGAGCAACTTAATCTGGGAGACCCCTGCTCTAGGCATAAAGCAAGCCACAGTGAGTCTGGATTTCCTGTGAGAAACAAACTCCTACCCAGTGTTATATACAGTAGGATTCCTGGTTGTACACTGTACAGAGTGGTGACAGACACTAGTAGTGGGCAGTGACAGAGGATCCTGTCCTGTAGCAATCTGTGTTCCCAGTGAGCTATCTTTTCATCCAGAGAGGCTGTGCAGATGGAGATTCATAGCTGTCTTTGTGTGCAACTGTTAGGTGCAGGCTGAAATTGATCAAGAGCCTATATTCTATATGCATCACCCTGCTACTTCACTGGGCTTGCAGTGTACTGAACCCCAGCTGAAACTCTCTTAATCATAACCAACCCACAGACTGCAGCAGCCTTTGCCATTGTGTGAGCAGTGCAGCCTACTGGGTTTACTCACCCCAAGTAGTCCAAGGAGGTGTTCTATCACTGTGGTCACCTGCTGAGCCAACTCTTTCCAAGGGGAGTCCTTGAACAGGTCACGATCCCCAAAGAGCCTGGAGTAGTTCTGGAGAGCGCCGGCGATCTTGCTCAGACAGGGCTGCAAGAGAGGGGCTGGTCAGTGGGGCCGGACCGAGGTCAGCCGAGAGTGACCTGTGCGACCGTGAGGTGCCCCCCAAGAAGGGATGGGCGTCTCTGTTTCCTACATTCACGGTGACAGCCGCAGCGGCTGTTTTTATTGACAAAATCCACAGCAGATTTATGAGAAGCTCTTACACCTGATTGCACAATGACCTAGTTTATACAGTGTCAGCACGTCCTGTGTAATGGCACATAGCCAGGTTTCTGATTACCTAAGCTGTGTGAGGTCAGTGCGCCTTTAACTCCACATGATTTCAGATGAATGAGACGAACCAGCAGGCACTTATAAATAAGAAATAATAATAAACTTTATTTTATATAGCACCTATATAGAAGGTGGATTCTCAAAGCGCTTTACAGCATGACAACAACAATAAATAAAAAGAATACACAAGATAAAACACACTTACAATACACAGAGGAGAGCGTGGATGGTGGTACTAAGTGTAGTAGGAGAAGAGGGGTAAAGAGTTGAACCAGTTGAGTAAAGGCTCTTCTAAACGAGAAGGTTTTGAGTATGGATTTGAAGGAGTTTAGAGAAGGTGACTCTGATATCCTTGGGGAGAGAGTTCCAGAGCTTGGGGGCATAACAGGAGAAGGCCCTGCCACCCATAGAGTGTAGACGGGCTTGGGGGAAAGTTAGGAGAACCAGAATTAGATGAGCAAAGGTTGCGAGGTGGGGAGTAGGGCGATAATAGTTCAGACAGGTACTGAGGTGCCAAGCCATGCAGAGCCTTATAGGTGAGCACGAGGATTTTAAAGTCCACACGGACTTTGAGAGGAAGCCAGTGCAGGGACTCCAGGATAGGAGTAATGTGATCACTTGCACCAGACCTGGTGCTAAAACAATAAAGAAACCCAAAAGCGCTTTCCAGCAGATCCTCAACTCACCAGACAGCCATGCAGGAGCTGGGGCTGAACTTTAAACCCGGGTCAAAGCAGAGGAGCCCAGTATAAAGAAACAGCAGACGGCCGCAGCCCAGGCTTGGAACCCGACTCCGGTGCATATTAGCACATGTGCCAGAAAAGTGCCAGGGGGTTTCGGTACACTTACCTCGGGATCAGACTTCAGGCTCAGCGGGTCGCATCTGTCTGCGCTCTCCACCAACAGGACACCGCCCTTGACATCCTGATGACTGAGCCGGGACTTGTCAGGGAGCTGGGAAAGACAAGGGCACATGGTGAAGCAGAAAAGTGTTGGGAATATCGGAGCCATGGAGCACGCTGACCCAGGGAGCTGTCTGTCATCCCTGCCAGGCTGGAGAGGGGAGCCCTCTTTATAAAACTGCAGATTCCACAGTGAATTCAGTCCCACACAGTTAGATCTAAAAACCCATTTTTACACCAGGTTAAGTCAGCACGGGACGATTAATCTCACAGTGGCCACTCGGCTGTGCACCCATGAGGTGTAATATCAGCTTTAAAACTGTTTCCAGCTACAATCAGCACATGAACCAGTAACACAACATGACCAGCTCTGCTGATGTCACACTGTATTAAAACAAGTTGGCCGTCGCCCGTCCTCCATGTTGGACAGATGTCTGTGGGGCTGGTGGGTAATGTATAGCAAAGCGCAGTGAAACCAACAGATATGTGCAGGATAGAACAGCGACAAAGCAAATTCCGTGAGTAAACACAGTAAAAAGTAGAAAAACGGCATAAGTCCGGTGAAAATGTATCGTTTGCGGATCTACTAGATGATAAGCTGAAGCTAACCTCTATTGTGCGTAAATTTGAACATTTAGCTACAAGAGGCTCATTTCATTTAGGCGGGTATCCCAAACTACCAGCCATTCTCGTTAGAAAACGTTGCGCCTGAAGCGTCGGTTTTAATGCGCTGTGTTAGATATGCGGAACGTCACTTCCTAAAAGCAGCAGAACGCCGTTTCTTTCGCCTTGACCGGAGCTGTACCAAAGCCCGTGATGGCAGGGAGCGCTATCTCAAGCTCAGGAGTGGGAGTGGGGTCCACACCTCCGTGTAAGGGGTAGAATGTGAAGGAATCCCGGGACCTACAGTACTCGCGCTCCCGACTTCCAGTTTTGCGTCGGCTGGCGCCCTGCGCCGGACCCCGGAGCGAAACCGTGAGAATCGCAAAGCAGAACTGAGCACTGGAGAGCGCGAGCAATTCCATTCCTCGACAGAGCCCGTCCAGAATCGGAGCTCAACCACGTGTTGCCGTCGGGGGTAAACACGGACGTCCAAGAATCTGCATCTGCACAATCTACATCGGAGCGCCTGCACATCAGGAGCGGAGAAGAGCTGTTCAACGGCTCTGATGTAGTCAGACGCGAGCTTCGGGTTGAAGTGGTTTCAACCGCTTATTCGAAGTATAACATCTAGTCGGTGCTGAGAGGGGGAGCTGTACCTTGGCGTAGCGGTAAGCGCCACAGTCTCCAGTTTTCGGCTTCTGGTTGCGATTCTAGACTATGGCTCCATAAGTGAGGAGTTTGTTGAGGTTTCTCTGGGCACTCCGGTTTCCTCCTAACGTCCGCGGACTGTGCTGGCTGCCTTCATCGCCCCTTCTCGGTTCGCTGCGTCCGCGACTGCGTCCCGTCTGAGGTGCCACCCTGACCGGTGCTCCGAGCCTCCTGGATTCGTTCAGGATCGCCGTGGCTGCCGGCAGGAGTCGGCTTCCTTCTGACGAGGGGGGTGGCGCGGGCGATCGCACAACGAGCCCGAACGGGGCGAAGACAAGCGGGGCTCGAAACCCTAGGCGGTTGAACTTAAGGGCGTAGGGAGTTTGTCGTTCGTCGCTTGTGACAGGTCTTGCTCTTTGTAAGTACTGTAAATGACCTAGGAGGTGATCTGAAAACGCAAGCTAGAGGTGCAGTTAACGATACTCAAAAACCTCTCGTCGCCTGTTATTTCTACGCTGTTTAATTACGATTTTTTAAGTGTACTGCGAATTATTGTTCGGCACTTATTCCTTAATTATACAGTACGTTGTTTATTTGTTACCGAATAACGGTCTCTGTATACAACGTTCAATGTAAAAAAAACTCCAGTGAAAATAAGGAGACAGCCCCACATTTCCAGGGAAAGTCTTTGGTGTATGAAGGTTTTATGTCAAACGCGTGTTTGCAAGCTTTTTGTACAGGACCCTGATGCTTTGAATGCTCTGTATCCGTTAGATTTACACGTAGCTCGTGTTTAACAGCTAAGACCAGAACCGTGTGCACGAATTTGTGGCGGAGCCGTTCAGCTTTCCATGTTTTAACCGGATTAATGTTTTCTTACGCGATTAGGTTGCCACAGAATTTCGGAAACCCCGGTGTCTGTCAGTTTTAAATCAGCTAAAACGAACGGTTCCTTGTGTACCGCCACCACGACAGTGACATTAAGGATAAGAAGGCTGGTGCTTACCATTTTGGCCATCTGTCTCGCCAGCCCGTTCAGCTCCACAGAATATGTCTTGAACTTGTCCCATTCCTTAATGGAGTCCCCGCGCCCTTCTCCGAGCCCTGTCAAGCTCAGGACGAGGCAGACCAGCAGAGCTGCGCCAGCTCCGGACGGTGAGGGCATCGCGACTGTTCTCCGCTTTGTGACTCTTCTGGTTCCGCTACACCTGAGCTTGGCGAGGGAGGCGGCGCAGCAGAGATTGATGTCGTCCCGAAGGTGCATAGCCCGAATTTATAGGGCTTGCAGTAGCAGGGTGACTCACGATGAGGTACACGCCAGGAGTTTCCCCGCGCCGAGCCCGACAGGTGTGCTGCGAAGCGGCGGGGCGGCGCTGCTGGAGATAAAAAAAAAGTTTCATTTTCTCTGTCGCCGTGTCTCACAAGTATTTCAAGCTCCTTAAAGAAAAATTAAAGACTTTTCGAGGCAGGGGGAAAAATGCGAGCCTTTCGAGCATACGGTAACTGTAGGCCAGTGGTTATTGCATTATTCGTCGTTATTAAGATTGGATTGACATTTTTATAACCCAAGAGATTAACAAATAATTGTAATACGACACGTACACCCCTAATCCTAACACACTAATTTGGTGGATTCGATACCCGGTAAAGATTAATAAGGTTTAAGCGCAATTTTGTTTCTAACTGCAGCAATATTAGCGACAGGTCTACAGTATATACAATACATTCGTCTTTTATTGTGTTTAAAAACTAGGGGGTCACGGATTAGGGGGCATTCCCGGAGATGATGATTATTGAGTACAGAACTGTGACAAGGATTCATTTACTGCCTTTCACCGCAAATAGGACATTCTGTGGCTAATGGGTCGCCTCGACTGTTGCCATGGCTCAAAGCCAGGGTGACGAATGGCGAAGACCGACGAAGCTGGGGAAGGAGACATGCGATCCCATCGTGACAACACACTCGACGGGAAGCTGGGCGGTGGTGCCCTGGCTCAGGGCTCTCGCGTCGCTCGGTTCCCGCAAGGAAACCGGCAGCCGCCAGCGACCATTTTCCTCATCACTTCCGCCGCCTGAAAGACTGGAATTAGAGCGTCTGGTGAGATCAAGACGACGAAATGGTCTTGATGGTGATTATGGTGAAATACCGATTGACTATCTAGGTGCGCTATGTCATACAGTACAAGTGGCCCGGTCATTAAGGAAACATAAGTTTAGCTATTGCGATTCTGTAACAGGATTTCTAAAATCTGAACTCAATAAACTATGGGAAATGGTAAAATGGTACTTTGTTTTAGGCGAGGGGGTGTTTAAAAACAATTCTCCAGACTCCGGGCCTCAAATAAGTCAATAATCAATCTTGAGGAAACGGCTCGAATATCTTGGTATTGAAACTGAAACACAACTGTGGAAAACGTGTACCTCGACATTGAGGTTAAACTCTCATCTATTATTGGTGTCACGACACAATAATGTGTACATTTAAGCACCATAACTGGAGTTTTTGTTTTCATATATAGGATTAAACTACATCTTTTTCATTGGGATCTGAGCATTATTAAACAAAAAGTGGTTCTATTTTCACTTACATAGGCAATGTATTAGTGTTTTTTTGCAACACTATTTTGAAAATATTCACCAAGGTGCCGTTTCATTATAGCAAGACGGTTAGCAATTCGGTTTATGCAGCTTCAACACGAAGTGCCCGAGCTGTCCTTGACCAGACGACAATTCTCACAACAAACAACAGGGGGCAGTGATCTCATGTACCGTCCATGTCTTTTCGACAAACAGAAGCATGAATTGAACTTTGCCGAATGACACAGATACAACTTTGGACGTAACAGGGAAAATAGTGGGTTTACTTGAATTTCCAGTCACCTTTGAAGCTTTGAAATACATTTAAAAAAGTTGCTTCCCTTATCTAACATGGCGACACACAGCGACACACAGTGACACAGCCACAGCGACGCCCTGTACATTAACTACTGAGCCGGCTTGCCTGTGCGCCTTTAATTTTACTCAACGGTCCGCAGTAGCAGAAGCGCCCCAGAAATTGGAAGTTTTTCTTATTTACACCCCACTGTGTAAAGGTCTTAAGACGGAGGCTGCTTCCACACCGCGAGCCCCCAGCCGGCCCGCGTGACGAGGGCTCGGGGCTGATCCGCGGTGCGCGAGTCGAGCGGATACACCGACAGCTTCGCCTGAGGAGGAGACCCGCCCTGACCACTCCTGCCGGTACAGCCGGCTTAGGCTCTTTCAGCTCGGCGCCAGCCCTCAGTCCCAGCCCTGGCTCATGGTTGAAATAAACTCTGGGCCCACAGGAGCTGGACGCCTGCTCACACCCCGGGTGAGGACGCCCGTGGGCCCCGAAACAGCAGCTGCCAGCCCTGCAGACATGTCTCCCCGGCAGCGTGGGAACAAACGTCCCCAAAATGGAGAACAACCCCCGTTGTTATCTTTTTA